TGCAGGTAATGGGGTGCTGGGTGTGAGGGGGTACTGCAGGTAATGGGGTGCTGGGTGTGAGGGGGTACTGCAGGTAATGGGGTGCTGGGTGTGAGGGGTACTAGCCTCCTGCCTTCCGACTATGGCCCCTGTGCTGATAGCTATATTTTCCCCAGCAGAAAGGTTTATTTGTGTATTTCTGCCGGGGCGTTCTGGACTTTCAGTATGGTAGTAGTGCTACCCCAGATAGCTATGCCATGGAGCCTATTTGTGTAACAAAAGACTATGGAAAAGACTTTGGCTCCATGGCGATTGAATTGTATGTATGTGATCTGAGCGCCATTCCATAATAATGTGCGCTCAGATCTAAGCTACCTGGGGATATGTTGCAGGTATATGTTTTATGTAGGAATTGTAACATTGTGTAATTTTATGTGTTTTTGTAACCATGTGGTTAATGGAGTCTTGCCTCTGTCCAGGATTATAAGTTGATTACTTCCCAATTATCTCCAGGGTAGAGAGGAGGGATTGTGATGTCACTGTGGGAGTGTTTTGTTTGTATTGTCTGTGATTGGTTATACTGGGTCCCACCCTGTGGGATGTCCCCTTCATGGGGACTTGCATAAAAGCCAGTGTGTGGTCATTAAAAACAGATCATCTTGTACCTTTCTTGAAGCCTTGGCTCATGTTTGGGGGATTGGAGAAATACACTCTGGGGATTGCTATAATCACTATACTCCCCAGTGTATGATCACTAAGTTTTGCTAAGAGCTTGTTCCTGTTCCTGCTCCCTGGGGAAAGAGAGGTTCACCCACTGGAAGCTGGATCCTGGCCTTGGGTCCAGGCTGGGTGGAGACAGCGAGACCCTGGTGCACCTGCATCGCTGGAAGTGGGGTCTGCAGTGCTGATGGTGTCGGTTGGAGTGCTTGGAGTCCTCAACGAGCACTAGGAGCATCGATTGGCGGAGGTACTCAGTCGGAGTGCCAACGGTCCATCACAGCAGGTAATGGGGTGCCCGGTGTGAGGGAGTACTGCAGGTAATTGGGTGCTGGGTGTGAGGGAGTACTGCAGTTGATGGGGTGCTGGGTGTGAGGGAGTACTGCAGGTAATGGGGTGCTGGGTGTGAGGGAGTACTGCAGGTAATGGGGTGCTGGGTGTGAGGGAGTACTGCAGGTAATGGGGTGCTGGGTGTGAGGGAGTACTGCAGGTAATGGGGTGCTGGGTGTGAGGGAGTACTGCAGGTAATGGGGTGCTGGGTGTGAGGGAGTACTGCAGGTAATGGGGTGCTGGGTGTGAGGGAGTACTGCAGGTAATGGGGTGCTGGGTGTGAGGGAGTACTGCAGGTAATGGGGTGCTGGGTGTGAAGGAGTACTGCAGGTAATGGGGTGCTGGGTGTGAAGGAGTACTGCAGGTAATGGGGTGCTGGGTGTGAAGGGGTACTGCAGGTAATGGGGTGCTGGGTGTGAAGGGGTATTGCAGGTAATGGGGTGCTGGGTGTGAAGGGGTACTGCAGGTAATGGGGTGCTGGGTGTGAAGGAGTACTGCAGGTTGTAGCGGAGAGCTGGTCTTTCACAGGATAACTCCACTAAAGATCCCAGTAAGGCTCAGGAACAAGTTATAAAACACCACAGGAGAATAATCACAGCATGCAATGTAATCCACGAATATCCCAATACGGATCACAATGACTGGACGACACACAGCATCAGGAGCAGAACTGACTTTTAATGCACACAACTTCCTTATAAAGCATTCTCCCATGCAAGGGAGGGATTTGCAATAATTAGTACAGTAGCCAATCCTCCACGAGTTGCCACCCACACATCTCCTCCCCTTAGTGTGACACATAATCCCCTTATGCAGGACACAAATTCCCTGAGTTTCTGGATGTACCCGTAAACATAGGGGTACCCCTTTAAATGTTACATCCCCTGGTAGCCCTGATCTGGGTGAGACACATATCCAAAAATCACCCAAATCGGACCAGGGGTTCGGGAAATTTATGGAAGTACTAAAATGACCGACCGCACTGAGTTTACCAGCTGAATAAGGCTCCATGCATTTTGGCCCTGCTGTCGGTCACACAAAAGGGAATGTAACACGCGAATGACTTGTGTTAGGAGAGCGGGGGAGGTTTCGTGTAATTACCCTTGTTTGTGGGATTCAAACTACCGAACGAGAAGCCGTTCGGTAGTTTGCATACGAATTGGCTGCAGTGTGGAGGTCTCACCGGTGTTTGCCTAACTGAGTGTCCGATTTGAGTTCCAGACACTCGACGGCAAAACACCGCTGTTCGGGAGTTTTAAAATGGCCGCCATGTGTTCGTCTCCCGAATGGCTGCCGCCCAGAGAACAAAGGACCCACTACACGAACCGCCAATTACCCGTTTGCAACATTGTTGCGAACAGCAATTGGAGGCACAATGATTACTGGGGTGGTCTGATTGTTCAGTAGTTTAATTCGCATAATACTGGAGTGATTCTACCGAACAATCAGCGAATGCTACATACAATTCACATATACAGATTACAATTTAACCGAATACATAGATGTGACAAGACTAATCTCGCCACATTGCATTGGAGAAGCCTGGTTGCTCGCCTGTTGCCTTTGGATTATGGCCCCATGTTAAAAGGCTTGATTTTCCCCTGCAAAGACAAGAAAGCCGGGTCATTTGGTACTTGCCCTGTTTGAGCGGTGATACCCCAGATAGCTATGCCATGGAGCCCATTCGTATAATGAAAGACTATGGGAAAGACTTTGGCTCCATGGCAATTGAACTGTATATGTGTGCTCTGAGCGCCATTCAGTAATAATGTGCGCTCAGATCTGAGCTATCTGGGGATATGTTGAATGTACCTGTTTTGTGCAATGGCTGCACAGGTTTATATTTTTATGTGTTTTATTGTCTTTTGCTGCCATGTGTTAAATGGAGTTTTGCCTCTGTCCTTGGAGATAATTGGATTACTTCTAATTATCTCCAGGATAGACTCTGTGGAACTGGTTTTGGGCAGAAAAGCCTTGCTTCCTTTGGTCACAAAGGACTACTGTTACGGTACCCTCAGCATCAGATGCACAAACCGCCGTTTAGCAAATCCTCCCCTCTCACAATAACATAGGCTGCATGCGTATCAAGTACAAGCATGCGAACCGTAAGCAGGGGAACGCTGGAAACTCACGAACGGGATCAGTACAGGCACCTCTCTTCACGAGCTCCAAATGCACGAATCGCCAATATTAGCTGAACGAATATATCTCCCAAGCGGCTAATAATCCCATCCGGCAGTCTCTAGTAGTCGGTAATAAATCCCCCCCAATAACGAGACCAAGCTCCGCATTGAGGGTTAAACATGAACTGGATTTACTGTGGGCTACCTGCCCGTATTTATGCAGGTCTCCCACTTGGTGGACACTGCCCTAGGGGACCAAATGGGAGACTGTAACAATAGACAGGTTAGGACCCACAGACACAGCATATTCCCAGCATGCATTAGTATTTCCTCCCCTCTGCCCTGGAGATAATTGAGAAGTAATTCAATTATCTCCAGGACAAGGACAAATCACCATTTTAAATTCAACACAGAAAAACATATAAAAATATATAACTTTACATCTGTCGAATGCTACCCATTCGTATCACATATCCCCAGATAGCCTGGATCTGAGGGCATATTATTGGCGAATAGCGCTCAGATCCCATACGTATAGTTCAATCGCCATGGAGTCAAAGTCTATTACAGTCCTTCGGTATGCAATTGACTCCATGGGGAGGCTATCTTGGGTAAGTCCGTTCGTGTGTTTAAACCTCCCGAATGGCTGGTGTTCGCATCCTTCTGTCGATTGAGAAGGGAGGTCGACGGCTTCAGCGGTGTTCGGTAGAAAAAGTGTCCGTTTTCAGTTCCATGAAATCCATGCCGAACACCGCTGGTCTTTCGCATGGTTTAAAATGGCCACAGCCTCGTGGTCGACATACGAATGACGACCACCCGGTATTCGGTTCTTAATTGAGAAGTGTCTGCGGTTAACCACAACGTTCTAATTGGGATCAAGAGGTTAACCAGCAGCATACTTCTCTTCTGGGTGGCCGTTCGTTCTGTAGTTTTGTTCAGCGGAAAAGTCAATTCACTGAACAGAGGCATACGAACGGGTAATTCCACGAAAAGGCAAAACAGACGAACCAGCAATCAGTCTTTACACAGATGGATCCGTCACACGGCTCCCCCCTTGTGGAACACTCCGGCAGACCCGGCTTGACCCTGTGGCGGGTCAACTTGGGGATGACCGGACTAGGAGGAAAAAGGGACGTCGGTTTGCCGGGACAATCCAGCCACATTCCCGTTCTGCTCACCGGGTCGGTAGCTGATGGTGAAGTTGTAAGGTTGTAGAGCTAAACTCCACCGCAGCAGTCTACCATTGTCTCCTGAGACCCGGTTAAGCCAGACAAGGGGATTGTGGTCCGTGATAAGAGACAAATCCTGCCCGTACAAATAAGGGCTCAATTTCTTCAATGCCCAGACCAGGGCTAAACATTCTTTCTCCACTGCCGCATAACTCACTTCCCGGGATATGCGACAGGGTGCTCTCCATCTTCCCCGACCTGGCTCAGCACAGCCCCCAGTCCATACATGGAAGCATCTGTGTGAACGAGAAAACATTTGTTAGGGACTGGGGCAGCCAGGACAGGGGCATTCACAAGAGCTTGCTTCAGTGCCTGAAACGCAGCTTCACAAGCTGGAGACCACAGGACCTGCTTAGGTAAATTCTTCTTAGTCAGATCAGTCAAGGGCTTAGCAATAGTGCTGTAGTCGGGGACAAAGCGTCAGTAATACCCTGCCGTTCCCAGGAAGGCCAGCACTTGGGTCTTGGTGATAGGTGTGGGCCAGTTAGCTACAGCTTCTACCTTGGCCGGCTCGGGTCTCTGGCTCCCACATCCTACCCTGTGACCCAAGTACTGTACTTCTGCCATGCCTAGATGGCACTTGTCTGGCTTCAAGGTCAGGCCCGGGGCCCCAATTTTGTCCAGAACCACCCTTACGTGTACCAGGTGTTCTTCCCAAGACTCACTGTAGACCACACTGTCATCCAGGTATGCACATGCAAATTCCTGGAAGCCATCGAGGAGCCTATCCACCATACGCTGGAAGGTAGCCGGAGCATTCTTCATCCCAAATGGCATGACCTTAAACTGGTACAGACCAAATGGGGTGACGAATGCCGACTTAGGGATAGCATCCTCGGCCAGGGGGATCTGCCAATACCCCTTACACAGGTCTATGGTGGTCAGATAGCGCCCCCTGGGAATGCGGTCTAATAACTCGTCTACCTGGGGCATCGGGTAGGCGTCAATGGTGGTCCGTTCGTTGAGCCGCCTGTAGTCTACACAGAACCGGGTGGTCCCATCTTTCTTAGGCACCAGGACTACAGGCGAGGCCCAAGGGCTGTCTGAGTGCTCGATGACGCCAAGCCTGGCCATCTCCTGTATCTCCTTCCGCATTCCTTCCCGGACTGCTTCAGGGATACGATAGGGGGGCTGTCGTAGGGGACTCTGTCCGGGTGTCTCTACCTTGTGTACAGGTTTGGTAGTGTAGCCGGGTTCTTGGGAGAACGTCGCCTGCTTCTCCCACAGAAGCTGTCTTGCCTGTACCTTCTCTGTGGGGCTTAACCGGTCCCCTAGCTGTACAAGACTAGTGAGATCAGTCTGGGGGTCCTTCTCTAGTAGGTCGGGCAAGGGTAAATTCTCGGGGTCGTTGGCAGCTGGGTCACAAACTGCAGCGACATCCTCTGGTCTCTCCTGATACTCCTTCAGCATGTTCACATGAAAGGATCGCTGAATTCTTTCATCTGAACAGCTGGCTATAAGGTAGGTAGTATCACACACCTGAGCTAATACCTTATACGGGCCCTGCCAAGATGCTTGCATCTTGTTCGTCTTCACAGGCTTGAGCACTAGAACCTTTTGCCCAACCTGAAAGACCCGCTGTCGGGCACCCCGATCGTACCACCTCTTCTGCCTCCCCTGGGCTGCCTGGAGATTCTCCCTTACTATCAGGGACAGTTTCTCCATGCGGTCCCGGAGTTCCAGCACGTAGGGCACGATGGGGGTTCCCTCTTGCTCTGTCTCTCCCTCCCAGTGTCCTCGAATGAGATCTAGGGGTCTGCGGACCCTTCTCCCATAGAGTAGCTCAAAGGGAGAGAACCCAGTAGATACCTGGGGCACCTCTCTGTATGCAAATAGCAGATGAGGCAGGAATCGCTCCCAGTCTCTGCAAGTGTCAGTAAAGGTCCTCAACATCTGTTTGAGGGTGCCATTAAATCGTTCGCAGAGACCGTTAGTCTGTGGGTGATAAGGTGAGCTAAGCAGTGGTTTAATGCCGCACACCTTCTACAGCTGCTGGATGAGCACAGCGGTAAACTGAGTTCCCTGGTCGGAGAGGATCTCCTGAGGGAACCCGACTCTAGTGAAGATCTTAACCAGGGCATCAACAACCGTCTCTGCCTCTATGTTAGACAGCGCTACTGCCTCTGGATAACGTGTGGCATAGTCCACCACGGTAAGAATATACTTCTCACTGGAGGGGCTAGCCCTGGCCAGTGGACCCACAATGTCAACGGCTATGCGGGAAAAGGGTTACATAGTTACATAGCTGAAAAGAGACTTGCGTCCATCAAGTTCAGCCTTCCTCACAAATGTTGTTGCTGTTGATCCAAAAGAAGGCAAAAAACCTGGTCTGAAGCACTTCCAATTTTGCCACAAACTAGGAAAAAATTCCTTCTTGACCCCAAAATAGCAGTCAGATGTCTCCTTGGATCAAGCAGCTATTACCCCACTAATTAGAAATTATATCCCTGTATGTTATGTTTTTGTAAATATTTATCCAATTTCAGTTTAAACATCTGTATGGACTCTGACAAAACCACCTCTTCAGGCAGAGAATTCCATATCCTTATTGTTCTTACTGTAAAAAAACCTTTTCTTTGCCTTAGATAAAATCTCCTTTCTTCCAGCCTAAATGTGTGACCTTGTGTCCTATGTATAACCCTGTTTATGAATAGATTTCCAGATAAAGGTTTGTACTGGCCCCGACTATATTTGTATAAAGTTATCATATCCCTTCTCAGGCGCCATTTTTCCAAACTAAACAGATTTAATTTTTTTAACCTTTCTTCATAACTAAAATGCTCCATTCCTTTTATCAATTTTGTAGCTTGTCTCTGGACCCTCTCCAGTGCCATGATATCCTTCTTTAGAACAGGCGCCCAAAATTGCACAGCATATTCAAGGTGTGGTCTTACCAGCGATTTATAAAGAGGCAAAATTATATTTTCATCCCGAGAATTTATGCCCCTATTTATACATGACAAAATCTTACTGGCCTTAGCAACTGCAGATTGACATTGCATATTGCTGCCTAATTTGTTGTCTATAACAATTCCCAAATCCTTCTCGTGTGTGGTTATCCCTAATTCACTACCATTTAGTGTGTAAGTTGCTTGTGCATTCTTAACCCCGAAGTGCATAACTTTGCATTTCTCTATGTTAAATTTCATCTGCCATTTTAGTGCCCAGTCCCCCAATCTATCCAAATCTCTCTGCAGCAAAGCAATATCCTGCTCACATTTTATTACTTTACAAAGTTTTGTGTCATCTGCAAACACTGATACATGGCTTTCAATGCCTATTTCAAGATCATCTATAAATATGTTAAATAGAAGTGGTCCCAAAACAGAACCCTGAGGGACACCACTTACCACTTTTGTCCAGCCTGAAAATTTACCATTAATTACAACGCGTTGTACTCTGTCCTTAAGCCAATGTTCTACCCAAGAACAGGAATATTCATCTAGACCAATTTCTTTTAGTTTGAAGACTAACCTATTGTGAGGAACCGTATCAAATGCCTTGGCAAAGTCCAAGTAGATCACATCCACTGCAACACCCTGATCTATACTTCTACTTACTTCTTCGTAGAATGCAATTAGGTTAGTTTGACATGACCTATGTTTCATAAAACCATGCTGATTATTGCTAATAACAAAGTTCTTCCCAATGAATTCCTGAATATTATCCCTTAATAGCCCTTCAAATATTTTCCCAGTTACAGAAGTCAAGCTCACAGGTCTATAATTTCCAGGCAAGGATTTTGAACCCTTTTTAAATATAGGAACAACATCTGCCTTCCTCCAATCCTCCGGTACAACACCTGAAACAAAAGAATCTTGAAAAATTAAATACAGAGGTTCACTTATTTCCCCACTTAGCTCCTTAAGTACTCGTGGGTGAATACCGTCAGGCCCCGGAGCTTTATTTACATTAATTTTCTTTAATAGCTGTAGCACCTTGTCTCGAGTTATCCAATCACAAGTTATTTGCAAGTTTTTTGCAGCAAACATTTGCATATCTCTTGCCATAGGATCCTCATTAATATATACTGAAGAAAAATAGTTATTTAAAATTTCTGCTTTTTCCTGGTCTTCATTAGCTAATAAACCCAACTCTGTTTCAAGTGTACCTACACTTTCATTTTTTGTTTTTTTAGAATTGATGTACTTGAAAAAAATTTTGTGGTTGGTTTTGCATTCTTTAGCTATCTATTTCTCATTTTCTAGTTTAGCCACTTTAATTGCCTTTTTGCAAGTGATATTGGCTTCCTTATATCTTAAATAGGATGCCTTTGATTTGTCTGATTTAAATGCCCTTTTCTTATTTTTAATCTCATGTTTTACTTCTCTACTAAGCCACATTGGTTTTAATTTGTTTCTTTTATATTTATTACCCAATGGTACATACTGAGAAATGTACCTTTCTAATATATGTTTGAATAGTTTCCATTTATCCTCAGTGTTTTTATCACTAAGGAGTTTATGCCAGTCGATATGTTGTAGAGCTGCCCTAATCTTATTGAAATTGGCTTTTTTAAAGTTATATGTTTTAGTATACCCCACGTGCTTTTGCTTTTTTGAGTTTATTTAAAAATTTACCATATTGTGATCACTATTCCCCAAATGCTCCCCTACTTGAATGTTGGTTAAGAGATCAACATTGTTTGTTATGACAAGATCCAGACAAGCATCCTTTCTAGTTGGTGCTTGTACCAGTTGTGACATAAAGGTGTCATTTAACACATTCAAAAACCTGATTCCCCTTGCTGAAGTACTAGTCCCTCTTTCCCAATTTATGTCTGGATAATTAAAATCTCCAATAATTAACGGTTCTCCAATGATAGGCATCGATATGAGCCTAGCCTTTGGGTGATTTCCCCCCCCCCCCGTTTACCTACCCGTTGACATGTGTCACACGTGCTACAATATACCCGCACATCTCGGTTGAAATTAGGCCAGAAGAAATTTTGGGTGATCCTATGAGCTGTGCGGCGGGAGCCTAGATGGCCCGCTAATGGCACATCATGCCCAATCCGCAGAATCTCCTGCCAGTATTTCACAGGCACCACCAGCTGCCGATTCTGCGGAGGGTATTTGGTCTCTGGGACAGTTTAGGGATCCTGTACAGCCTATCCCCCACCCACTCATAACGCTCCCCATCGACCCCCTCTCTGGCCCTATA